ACTATTAGCTTCTTTAATTATCTTTCTTCATGCTTTTTGTATTTCTAGCCTGCTACTCCATGCTTCTTATTTTGTGTTTATGATATATGCAACGAGTTAAGTATGATGAGTCTATGTGGAATGTTAAAGATTTCAATTCAAATTTAAATTATAAATACTGCATCTTTTTAATTCACATCACTTAATTATGTTCAGGATTTAATTTTTGGGTGCAAAAATTATAATATTAATTAAAAATTAAAAATTATTACGTGGTTTGTTTGGTCAAAGGGGACCGCGCCTTCCAATACTCAATGGTTTCAATAAAATTTCATTTACCTTGCTTTTATAATTGCAAAATTACAGTTGCCACCCAAAAATTAATTACCCCACAATACTTTTTGAAATATTAAGTATACATATTTAAAAATAATTTTTACTCTTATATTTATTATGGTACGAGTGAAATTAATAAATGGTTTTAAGCTTTTTAAATAATTTATTTTCATATTTAATTTAACTATTATTTAAAATTATATTTTTTAAAAAATATTAATATTTATTTTGGTATAAATATTGCCTCATTAATAAACTTTTCTAAGTCAGTGGTGGCCCACACCCCCTCCCTGCCTCCCAATAAATTCAAGGATCATGGTCTTACTGACCTTTTCCTTCCATTCATTTTTCTCATTTTTCTTTTACCGCCAAAGCTTGCCAAATTCCAACTATTCTAATTTAATTTTTATATTGTTGTTGTTGTTATTATTTTACATTAAAATATATAAATAAAAATATTATAGTTTTAAATTTTTTAGATCAAATTTTAATAAGTTAAATTTATTTATATATTTTTATATATAATTATAATAATAATTTATCAAATATTAAAGCAGAATCATTGAAAACTTTGATCTAATAGTAATGAAAAGAAAGGGAGGGAAAAGGAGAGGCACTCTCCCATAGATTGAAAGAGAATACTTAGGACTAGTTTAAATAGATACCCTTTTTGTCTTATTTATAGGAGAAAGAGATAAAAAAAAAATTTCATTCTATTTATAAAGTACTTATTAATTTTTAATATTTTTTTATATGTTGCCCTTATTAAATAATTTAAATAAAAATATTAATAATAAAATTTAAAAATATTTATTAGAAGTAAAATTTAAAATTTATTAAATTTTAAGATAAAGTTAATAAAATTTAAAGTTTTTTTAATTTTAATAAAATATGTTAAAAGTAATTTATAAATATGATTAAAAAGAATAGGATTGAAGGAAAAGGGAGGAAGAAAGGCAGAGTTGAGGACTGTTGTGTATGTGAGGGATAATTGGACCACTTTAACAAGAAAAATATAACCGAGAACTTCTACACTTTGCAGAAAAATATCAGAATCCCTTGAACATGTGAATATCTTGCTTTTGAGGTACTGTATGCGATTCCCCCAGTTAAAAATATAATATTATTTGATTATGAATAATAATCTAATCTTGTTTGGTTAAAAGGAATGGCTGGGTTGCTGCCCGACCTGCATATGTTCAAGTTCAAGGGCTTGGGGGCAACCCCATAATTCAATAAAAAATTCACTTGTAAATTACAATTTCTTTTTAAAAAAAAGGAATTGTCCTGCATTAACTTTTTAAATATTAAGCATACATTTTAAAAAATATTTTTACTCTTGTGGTATAAATAAAATTACAAAAACAGAATCATGGTATAAATAAAATTAATAAATATTTTTAAAAATATTAGATCATTTATTTGTATATTAATTTAATTAAAATTTAGAATTATATTTTTAAAATATTAATATTCATATTTAATATAAATGCTGTCCCACTAATAAATTTTTCTGAATCCGTGTGGACGTGACCCCTACCGCCAACGAACAACCCCAACCCCCTCCCTGTCTCCCAGTTAACACCGACCCACCCACATGTTCCCACTGGAATACACGTGTTTGTTTTTTTAAAGAGTTTTTTTTATTTTAAAATATAAAATATTTTAGATAAATTAAAGTTTCCTTAAATATATCAATTTTAATATTATTTTTTTCTCTATATAATTAATTTTTATATACATTAAATTATGAGTATTTTTAAAAATTTATATTTTTGTTTTAAAAAAATAAGGTTGTTAACTGTAGTTAATGAGATTTATTAATATGTGAAATTTTATTTAAAAGTATCTTCTAATTTAGGAGGATGGAGTATTTGGAAATTTTGTGTGATACTTTTATTATTTTTTTGATAGAATCTGTTATAATTTTAGAACAATTTATGATCTGCGAGAGTGGATGGGTTCTTTCCACTGTTTTCAAACCTCTTGTTGTGCTTGCATTGGCGTCAAGTTCAGTAATTTTAGAAAAAATTGTGCTTAATAATCAAATGGATTAAAAATTTGGGGAGAAGAACTATCGCTTGGAGATCATTGCATGTTCTAAAATTTACAGTCCAGTCTCAAGAGATCTTCAATAATCTCCTCTCAATTTTTCCACACATGTGATTCTATACACAGTTTTATTTCCATATGACACTCACCAAGTTAAATTTGAATATTGTTATTTGTCAAGTTCATTTGCGTGTAACTCCTAAAGATATTTTTTACATTTACACAAATTCAAATCAAAGACCTCATATTTTCAACAGTCATATTTCCTTCCACTATGACCTATATTTGTTGGTTCTTATGCACAATTTTCCCTTTCTTTAGTAATATAAATCATTTGGTGTCTGAAAGCCAATAGCTCCTATCAATCCGAACCAAACTAGGTTAGGATTCTTTTAGATGGAAATTCTCCCACTAAACACCATTGTATTATCAAAACTCAGGACTTCAAACTCACTTGCTAGGTTAATCAAGCACTTGTTGGCAAGTTACCCATTTGTTGTTTTTGTGTTTTGATGCATCTACTTGTTGCTTTATTCTGTTTGGGCCACTTTGTATCATTTTTTGTTTTCATTTTCATTACTTCGAATCTTTGATATGTGTTTGAACTATCAATAAGTTTGGATTCATTGGAAGAAGCTAATTCCTCTCAAAAGTAATTAATCAAAGTTTGAATTCTCGTTTAAAAAAAGCACCCACATATTAGAGTTTGATAGTATTTCAAACAAGATTATCTCCAGAAGGATACTTACGACTTGTGGATTACCAAAAAAAAAAAAAAAGATGTGTGCTTGAACTTTAGTTTTTTTATTTTTTTCAAATGCATATGTCCTTTTATAAATTAAAAAAAAAGATGGATTTTTCTTTATTTCCACGACAAATTTCATTTTCCGGTGTACTTTATAAGGGGTCTACATGAAATAATGTCGAATTTCAAGACTTGTGTGCTGGTTTTGACAATGCAATTTTTTAATATTTAAATATTTACATCAATACAACAGGAATTATAAATTATGATGCACAAATATTGATACATAAATACGTATATGATGCGTTGAAATTTTTATGTTTAAAAAATATAAAATATGATACGTTTTCAATAAGTGCATATATATATTTATAAAATAATCATAAAAAATTAAAAATATAATTTAAATTCAAAAATATCCAAACTAGCATGCATTTATAATCATTTGTACTAATGTCAAATAAAACATAATCATTAGTTATACTTTTATTTTATCAATATCTTATTATCTAATGTCTAGTCTCTGTTAATAGTTCCCTACTTTGAATTTTTATGTCAAAAGATTATATTATTACATTTTTATAATTAAAACAAATAAAATTTTTATCTTTTTATTAGATCTAAAATCTATTTTTTTAATAAAAATCTAATCTTTAACTTTACAAAAAAATTAAAAATATATACTAGGAATAAAAAAGATTAATATAGCAATATTTAAAAAAATTAATTTTTTTAAAAAGGTATTGTAATATCGGCTTTAAAGTATCAATTCATAATTTAAAAGTATCAAATAGTATACATATCAAAAATTAAATTTTTTTAAATTTAAAAATAATATTTTAATACTATATAAATACTTATCAAAGAAGTATTAATATCAGATATGATACCAATATGAATACATGAAATAATTTAAAGTATTCGTGCTTCGGATAGATTATGATAAACAATTAGAAGCATATATATTATTTAGGGTTGGGATATTTCCTCATATTCCATCAAATTAAATATTTCATATATACCTGATGATAATAACAAAGTCTTTATGGGATTTAATAATTAACCGATTAAAATAGGTTTTTTTATAATGTGAGGCTACTTTTTATCTATTTAATTTTGGGGAGTAATCAAAACCCCACATTCCATTCTTGTATATAATATGATAATATCTATATTTTTTGTGTGACACAAGTAGCATGTTAGATTAGAACTTAGATGCACAACCACAAGAAAGATTTAAAAAAAAAAAACACACAAAAGTATATTGTGATGAGAAGGGGAAAAAACTAAAGTTAGCATATACGATGACTAAATAATTTATATGATCCTAATAATATTATTTTTCAGAAATAATTCTAATAATATTCTAAGCTTATTTATGGACTGTGAGAGTATCATTAAAGAAAATTATTTTATTTTTTAATTAATCAATTGTTTGTCTTATTTTTCAAAAGATTTAATTTTTTATAGAGCTATATTATATTAAAAACTATCAAGTCAAATTTAGCTATTGTTAAATTTAATTGGAGATAACTATTTAAAAAAAATTTGTATTCACAAAAATTTAAACCTGATCTCGTATCTAAACATCCTGTTAATTTAACTTTAATTTAATTTTGTCAAGAAAATAATGCATCAGGAAAATTGTAGGGAAAATCACTACCAAGCCCCTTGCAACCATTCTTATTATCCAAAAGTCCCACCAAATGCTAAAATGAATATGTGGTCCCTGGGTCCTCAGCTGTAATTCCAGTATTTTGTTAAATGACGAAAATGGTCCCATTTGAAAATCCCTTTCCCCATACAACCTTTCATTTTATTCTAGTGTGGTTGAAACTTAGATGTGATTGTTTTTAAAAGTACACAGTGTCCAGCATTCTAGACCAAGTTTAGTCCGAAAAAAATGTTTTATCATTTGAAGCGGAGGGAGTATTTTGTTTGCCGTGGCACGCATATGCTGGAAAAAATGAGGTGGTCAAGGAAAGGGAGGAAAACTAAACCTGAATCTGATCGCCGATGTGAACGATCAAAGCATTGGGGATATACTTGGCGTCGATCCAACGTTCATCGTGGAGAACTTGAAGGCCCCCGGAACTTCGTTCGGGACGAGAATGGTGAGAGTGGAACAGTCGGTGTGAGGAGAGACTCCCAAGGCCAGATCAGGGCGAGGACACGGTGGATAATAGTTTATCTTCAACATGTACTGTAGCTCCTCTCCTCCCACCGCCTCTTTCATCGCATTCTCCTCCAGCCCTAACCCTAATGACAGGCACCTGAACACCTTATCTCCCACCTCCCTCACATACTTTGCATACTCTTCGTTCACATCCCTGCAGGTACATACAATATTGTCATATCACTCAGAAATCAAAATACATGACATACAAGAACATGTCTATGTATATATGTACCTGTAAGACGGAGGATTCTCTGGCCAAAACTGGTAGTTGATTTTGGAGGGAGGCCAGATGAGGTGAAAAAGATGGTCGTTCCAGCATTTCTTGCCGTAGAGATCCTTCTGAAGCATGGTTCCGTAGCCTTCGAAGCCTTGAGGTGGCTTGGCGTACTTCTCCTTCTCCTCCTGGGGGAGTTCAAAGAAGTGTTTCCCAACACTGTGCAGCTTTTGTAGCAGGTCACAGGGTATTCCATGGTTCACGAGCTGGAACAAACCCCACTCCTGGCTGGCCTTAGAGATCATCTCCACCAGACGGTCCTGGTCGGGATGGCTGAGATCAATGGTGGGTATGTCAGGCACGGGACCGCGAAATGTGGTCATGGCCGGCTGCTCTTTCTCCGGCCGTATGAACTCTGCCGGAATGGAGCCGGTGTTCAAGGACAAGGTAGCGATAGCTTGCACCCTCTCTACCTCCATGAAGTTTCCTGCGTGACTGTGTAGGGATATACGTGCAACTTCTTGCTTATCAAGGAGCGATGACGATATAGGTACATTTATAGACGATGCATGTGAGTGTATCGGTAGACGGGTGGGATTTGAAGTTAATTCAAGATCGAAACATTGAGGCTCAGGAATATCATGCAGTTATAGCTTACATTGAGCTATAGCTTCAGAGAGAATGCTAGGTAGAGCTCGTTCATAATGCTTGAGAATTTTATAGGAAAGTTGATTGTCTTGCAAAAAAATCCTTATCTCCCTTTGAGTTTCCATCTAGCTACAGTGGAGTACCTTAGAGACCTTCTAGCTGATTTTATTTGATGTTTTTACTGCTTTCTATTTGCTACTCTGTTTTTGATTTCCTATATATATATATATATATATATATAAAAGGTCAGTCAACGACATAGAAGAAGAAGAAGGGGGCAAAAGCTGGCGGACAAAGGCAACGATGCAAGCGGGCGGTATAGGCAGAGGTGATGGTGCAGGGGATAAGGGTGACACATGACAGGAGAACTTGACGATGCAAGCTGGAGAACATGGTTCAAACTCGCAGATTTGACTTCGCAATCGACGTTTGTAACGCCAAATTGGGTTCAGACAGAAGGGAGATGGCTATGGAGGACGAACAGTCATGAAGGAAAACTAGAGCAAGTGATGTGATAAATAACGGGCATTTCAGTAAATTGATAGTATATTTAAATTACAATTAAGGACCTAGAGACTGCAAACTCATTTTAGTATTTGGTAGGACCTTTGGGTAACAAGAATGTGATTTTTCCAAAAATTCTAGGGAAAATCACATTCAGCCTTCTCTCAAAAAAAATTAATCACAAATAAGGATTAATAATAAATCTCATTCGAAAAAAAATAAGTCATTTTTTTATTTTAACAATAATATGTTCTGCATTAGTTCTTATATGTAATTAATTCATTTGGAAAGAGGCTGGAAGTAATTTTTTCAAAATTTTACTTCGACTAGAGTCTGAATTTCTTATCGAGTAAATTCCTATATGGTTGAAAGATTTTGACGGCCTGTTGAGTGGAAGAACATAAATATGATGACATGTCATTAAAAATTCAAAATTGGGATTTACTTAAAGAATTTTTTTTATTTTATTTATAAGTCATGCTATTAAATTTTTATCATAATTTTTTTATCCCATTAGATATTAATAAATATAGAATAGAATGAAAATTTTATTAAATTTTTATACCACGAAACTACTCACAGTTGATATCTATTCATTGCCAAGAGTGCAATGAAGGGATTCCATCGGGGAAAAAAAAAAACAGAGAGCAATGAAGGGGATCGTATTTGCTCGCTCTTCGTTTATATTGCAGATGTTTTGTAGAAAAATTTTTCTGTCCTTAATATAAGGTATATAAAATATTATTAATTATTAATTAATATTAATATTATTTAATATTAATTATCCCGAAAATAGTTGAACAGGCACAAGTATTATTGTTAAATTTTTAAGTTAACTTTATGAGTTTATATTTTTATATTTCTACCTTACAAAATCATATTAATTCACTCATAAACTTGAATTAGTAAAACTCGGTTCAATTTGCGGGTTGACTCTCTGAGTTTACCGTTTTATGTTTTTAACTCATAAAATCATGTTAATTCACTCATAAATTCATTGAGTAAGATGTATATATACTATGCAGAATTTGATTTATAGAAGCGGCAAGATCCAATTCAATAAAAAAATAAAACTAAAAAAACTAAAAATCATATTAATAAAAAAGAAAACAAAAAATATAAAAAATAAGTTGCCATATTTTAAAATTTTTATGTTGAATATAATAATTTATAAATGTAGATAGATTTAATTTGAATAATTTATATTTAAAATATATTTAAATTAAATTATGATCATATTTTATATTTTAATTATTTAATCATGTATTTTCAAATGCTATTTATTAACAGATATAAACTATTACAAGTTTACAATCTAAATCTACATTTAAATTTATATTCTTGTTAAGAGCTTATTTAAATTTGTGAGTTTAACAACCTTGCGTATAAGAAGGAGTAGTTTTTTTTTTTTGGGAAAATTTTCACTTAAGGATCCTATAACTTTTTAATAGCCAAAAAGGACCATATAATTTTTGAAATATCACCACACCTCTTGGGACCTGCATGAAAATAAAATTTAGGTGAAAAGATCAAATTACTCTTTGTTAAATGAATGAGAAACACAACTGAACAAATATTTACTTATTACTAATATACTCTTCTAATCCTATTTATAAAGCAAAGAAAGAAGAAAAAATTGGTCTTATTTGTAGGGCACTTGTCAATTTTTAATGCTTTTATTTATATTTTTGCCTTTATTAAATATATTTTAAATAAAAATACTAATAATAAGATTTAATAATATTTGTTAGGGATAAAGGTGAAGACTTATTAAATTTTAAGATAAAGATAATAAAATTTAAAGTTTTTCTTAATTCAAATAAAATATATTGAAAGTAATTTATCAATAAGACCATAGAAAGTATGATTACTTGTCATTACTTAAATGATTGCTCGTTTATTTAAGACCAATACTTATACAATTATTATCAATCCTATTAGTTTTTTTAAAGTGTTTCATGAATGAATGAGTGCTTATTGCTTATGGATGATTATTTATCAAAATTTGTATGGTTACTTGTTTACTTAGAACCATAGTTAAAATTAAGAGGATAGATAATAATTATATGTGTTGATACAAAATACTCATTTTGATTATTATTATAAGACAATTTTAACTGTTTCAAATATTTTAAAAAAATTATTTTATTTTTTAATATCATAAAAAAGTGAAATATAATTTTATTTTTATCCTTAACTTTAAATAATAATATAATTATATTAAATACTTTCACGTAATTAAAAAGAAATAAAGTTTAAAAAAATAATTTAATAATTATAAAATATTTTATATTTTAAATTAAAAATTACTTTTTAAACAGTGTTTCATAGAATTGGAGGGAGTAATAAATAAGCAAATGTATTGACAGTTGTTGTGTATCTCGTTAGGGCATGTTTCGCGTTCTCTTTAAATCTTATTTGCAGTCGGTGATATTTAATAATTATTCCCTTTTATTTTTTCCCCTTTTCATGGTCGGAAAGCAGATTGCCGTTTTCGCGCGACAGTTCTACGTCTTCAGTTCTTCTACTAGTCATTTTGCTTCTGTTTGTGAGTGGAAATCTTCTACCTGCCCTAAACTGGAAATCGAATTCCACCGTTTTGTTCAATTTTCAAAGCCATAGAGATAAGCGTCAATTTCTTTTTCTACCTTCTACTCTTCTTGGCGTTTTTCTGGTTATTCTGCCAGAATCCCTAAATCCCCTTCTTCGAAGGATTTCGCTCCTCTCTTGCGGCTTTTGTTTGGATGTGACTGCTTGGATGAATATGATTTCGCTCTTGTTTGGTTGGGTTGTTTGGTACTTCCAAGTTCCAAGTTCGAATGATTTTGCGCTTGTGTTTGATACTCCGAGATTACTTCTCTCTTTCTTTTTGAACGAAAGCTGTGCTCTATATATATATATGAATCAAGAAGATTACAACGAAAACAAAAGAATACTTCAAGGTTACTTATATGTGTGTGCCACGCGCGCACATATTCAGACCCTTGTATAGCTTTGGTGAGGGAACTGCTCAGATTCCACCCCAAATGCAAAGCGGCGTCGTTTTGAGTTGGTAGAGAGAAGCTGATTCTATTAATGTGTGGATAAACAATGCTATCCACAAGGTTATTGTGATTCAGTACTATCATTTGTATTTTACCATGAATTCTGCAACGCTGAATCTTCATCCACCTTCTCTTGTCCCACGAATCTCACACTGCAAAACCATACGAGAGTTGAAGCAATTTCACGCCCTTTTCTTCAAAACAGCTCAAATTCATGACATTTCATTGGCAACAGACTTCCTTAAGCTATGCGCCACCTCGGATTATCGTGATACTCAGTATGCCCTCTCTGTTTTCGCCCAATTACAAGAACGCAATTGCTTTTCTTGGAACACTATGATCAGAGCACTTGCTGAAAGCGACGATGACTATGGGCCATTGGACGCTTTCTTCTTGTTTTGTCAAATGGTTTCTGAGGGAATTGCAGAACCTAATCGCTTTACCTTCCCTTCTGTCTTAAAAGCATGCTCTAGGTTCGCCAGGTTGGAAGAAGGAAAACAAGTTCATGGTTTTGTAATCAAGTGTGGATTGGACAGTGATGAATTCGTCACGACCAATTTACTGAGGATGTATGTAATGTGTGGGAGTATGGAGGATGCCCAAATTTTATTCACTAGAAATATTGATGGGGTTGAAGATGTGAGCAGAATGGTGAGGGATAGTAAGAGGAAGCGAGAGGGTAATGTGGTCCTTTGGAATGTGATGATTGACGGATATGTAAGACTAGGAAACATCAAAGCTGCCAGTGAATTGTTCGAGAGAATGCACCAAAGAAGCGTGGTTTCATGGAATGTCATGATATCTGCATGTGCACAAAATGGGATTTTCATGAAGGCCGTGGAAAGGTTTCACGAGATGCAAATGGAAGGTGTGTCCCCAAATCGTGTGACTTTGGTCAGTGTGCTGCCAGCAATTTCGCGCCTTGGATCCCTTGAATTAGGGAAATGGGTTCATTTATATGCAGAGAAGAATAAGATTCCGATTGATGATGTGCTTGGCTCTGCTTTAGTGGATATGTATGCAAAGTGTGGGACTGTTGAGAAGGCAATTCAGGTCTTTGAGATACTCCCTAAACGTAATGTCATAACTTGGAATGCTATAATCGGTGGTCTTGCCATGCACGGTAGAGCCAATGATGCCTTGAATTATTTTTCAAGAATGGAAAAAAGTGGGGTGTGCCCTAGTGATGTTACATACATTGCAATCTTGACTGCTTGTAGTCATGCAGGTTTAGTGGACAAGGGCAGATCCTTTTTCAATCATATGGTTGATAAGCTTAGATTTGAGCCTAGAATAGAACACTATGGATGCATGGTTGATCTTTTGGGTCGTGCTGGTCTTTTAGAAGAAGCTGAAGAGCTTATACTGAACATGAACATAAGATCAGATGATGTCATTTGGAAGGCCTTGCTTGGTGCTTGTAAGATGCATAAAAATATTGACATAGGTAGGCGAGCAGCTGAAGTTTTAATGCATTTGGCTCCTCATGATAGTGGGGCATACGTGGCTCTTTCAAACATGTATGCTGCAGTAGGAGATTGGGATGCTGTTGCAGGGGTGAGGTTGAAGATGAAAGACTTGGACATAAGGAAAGACCCTGGATGTAGTTGGATTGAGATTGATGGGGTGATTCATGAGTTTCTTGTTGAAGATGATTCCCACCCTAGAGCCAAAGAAATAAACTCAATGTTGGAGGAAATTTCCCACAAGTTGAGTTTGGAATGTCATAGGCCAGACACTACACAAGTCTTGCTTAACATGGATGAAAAACAAAAAGAAAGTTTGCTGCACTACCATAGTGAGAAGATTGCAGTGGCCTTTGGCTTAATTAGTACATCGCCAAAACACCCCTTAGCATAGTAAAAAACTTGCGCATTTGCGAAGATTGTCATTCATCAATGAAGTTGATCTCAAGAATTTATGAGCGTAAGATAACAATTAGGGATAGGAAACGCTTTCACCATTTTCAGCATGGTTCATGCTCTTGTATGGACTACTGGTAGTCTGCAAATCATTGACAACTCTAATTTTTAGACATTGGATCGGTACACTTTATTGTCCTGATTATAAATAATTGATTTGTTTCTGCAAAATAAAGCGTGTGATTTATTGTAGTTATTGGAATTGATTTGCACATTGACAATTATCTTTCACTGCTTGAGAACTGGAAATGTCCGGTGGGTGAAACAACAGATGTATGTTGTTCTAAATATAATTGATTAATCTGGTTCCTTCTTTTTTGCCAACAAAACTATTTAGGTGAGTTAAGTTTCAAGTCATTGTTAATTAATAATATTCTTTCTTTTTTTGATGACGTAAGTTGTGATCACTATGCTTATTGTTTCTCAATTTCTTAGCAACATGGTGCAGCCTATTAAGAAAAGCTGCAAGTATTGTTAAACAATGTTTCATTTCAAAATGTGATGGTGAAATGTGTAGAACTTCACTTCCTGAGATGGCCAGGTTGTTTTGCATGGTCATTTACAGTCAACAGTTTAATGGGTATCTGCTTCATCCGTGTGTGTCTGTTTTGGATGTAACATGTTGAGTTCATCCCTTGTAGGATTAGCAAGACAATCGGAAAAATAGACTGGGCCATGCAAGTGAAAGTCCAAGGCAAGAGTTTTGTTAGACTGGGTCGAAAGTATCGTGAGCTAATAGCATACAAAGAGAGATGACTTTCTAGGTTCTTCTCATCTTTCCTTGTTTAACATTTATAATATTAACAGGGATTGAGTCTAACAGAGAGAGTAATTTTTTACAATGTGAAGAATCAATATTTGAATCTCAATAAAGTACTCACATTTAATATTTAATAGTGTCTCAAACATGATTGTCTTTACTTGGAGTATACCTCTGGCAAACTAAAAAAAAAAAACATTTATAATGTTTACGGACAGAGCAAAAGATAAATTCATCTCCATTTTATGGATCAAGGAATTTAATATAAAATTCATATAAACTTTTGTGGCCCAATTACAAAGTCTATGCAATGCAGGAGGCCCATATCCAGTTGCATTCATTCAAACTTTCTCTTACCAACTCATCTGGCTTTGAAGAAGAAATCAATCAAGAGAAGGCGAAGCAAAGAGAGAAAAGATTGGCATTGATGAAGACAAAGAACTTTGTCTATAAGTATCAGCTACATGAAATGATTTGAACGTTTGGAAGTTTGTTCATGAAGGATGAAGGCAGAAGAACTGACACGCTACAATCAAGAGAGAAATAATTTCCCACATAATCTATTGCTTACTTTGATTGAGATTTCAGCAAATTTTTGGATGAAAATTGAAAACTCGGTGTTGTATTCGTCTTCCAATTAACGAAACCTTGGTTTACAAAACCCTTTTTTTTTAAGTAACTTTTCTTTCTTTTTTATATTGTGCACATGTATTATACTAGGGATAATCTTATTTAAGACATAGTTAAATATTAAATGTGAATATTTTTTTCAATAATGATTCAAATTTTAATTTACTATCTTGTAAGAGATTAGCCTCTTCTATTAAACATATTTTTTGTTGGTTAACCCTTATTTCTATATGTACACATGTATGTTTGGATTAATATTTAATATTCTATTTTGCAAAAGTCCATTTTAAGTTGACTAAACAAACAAATATCAAAATTTGGGTTTGCAGAAACTTAGTTTAGCCCTCCAAACCATTAGCGTGTGTTTGGATTCAAATTTGCAAAACTAAAATTTCAATAAACTAAAGTTTACAAATTGATGCTAGGATAAAAGATGTACAATGAACTCGTAATCTTGTTTGGACTAATATTATAGACTCACTATTAGAATTAAAATAAAAAAATTGTTGTTTTTGACTATTCAAATGCTTCGCCTACTTAAAACTCAAATTAAAGATTGAATTGGTCAAGTCGTTTAGTTAATAAAGATTGCGCATTAATCAAACATAATAATAAGAGATAAAAAGCAAAAGAGAAAAAGAAAGCAATGAGGGGTATCATCTATGACCATTGTGTTCATTATGAAAAAGTTATGTTCCCACCATGCTAAACAACTTTCGTCTCAAATTCCAAAATTGTCTATTCACTCTTTTAATTGTGCATTTTGGTTCTCTCAACTTCAAAATCATGTTTCAAACAATAATGTTGCCAAAATATATATACCCTCGTTCGGAGGTGAATTGCCAGAAAACGTTGTATCTAAAAATTAAGATTTTGTAAATTAAATCCATGTTAATTTATTTGTGAAGAGCAAAGTTACCACTAAAATTTAAATAATTTATCATACTACGTTTTGAGTAAAGTTACACTACATTTTCTTATTTGCAAGAACAAGTTGCATCTTGTACTTACAAATTAAAATATACTGATATTCAGTATCTTAATGCATTTTTTTTCCTCATAAGACAAATTCCAACTTTTTCCGCAACAACCAAATGAAATGCAATAGCATTGATGTGCTTACAACAACTAAAGTAAATAAAGATGTCAAAACTCAAAAGCATATATGCGGTGAGAGAGAGAGAGAGAGAGAGAGAGAGAGAGAGATTTTTTAAAGGTATAAAGTGGTTCAGAGTGCTTCTAGCCAATCATCATAACCTTTTGAATTTTTTTATTATAAATGCGCACAGGCATAATGGCTGAATATATCTATTTATATCATAGTGATATTAAATTATTATTTTACTACAAAGCAATAGAAAAACCGAATAGGGTAATAATCAATTCATGTAGAGTCTATAAATTTTCTGCACTCCAAGAGTAGTTATATAAAAGTCATAATGACTAGATTGTTGTTTGGTGTATGATGAGCAAGCCTACCTTTTTGTTTTTTTTTTCATGAGTAAAAGAAATAAACTCCGTTGATATTAGATATTATCTCTCTTAAAATAATGAAGGTAGATATTTTTTAATTAAATTGTTACATATATAAAAAAGTTGTGATTTGAACTTCAGCTACTTATTAAGTGTCGATAACCCATATAATTCATGTCAAGTGTTTTTTTTTTTTGCAAAAACCATTCACGTCAATTTTAGTTAATTGATTTTAACGGCTTTAATTAGTTTTAGTATTCCTTAGCATTCTGGAAAAACATGAAAACATGCTCATTAGATCTTTGGTAACTTAAAGCAATAACTTGACTTTTCTAATGGGTTAAAAAAATGAAACAAAACGCCTTACATAAAGCATATATTGTTTCTAAAAACTGTTTAGAATATATGCCATTAGCTTTAGTACAATTTCTTGTTCAAAGTATATTAATATTTATCAAATTGATTGATTTATGTGTTTTAAAACTTGACACTTGAAATTATAATTAATACAAGAGCTAGGCATATGGAGTATCCTCAAATCGAAAATGACACAGATTAAATCTAAAATAAACACTGAAAAATCTATATTTCATATATTTCGTATATGTATGATTTAATTTACACAAAATTAATTACGTCACGGTCAAACATGTGATAATAAAGGTCTTGCACTAATTAATAGTGAATTAAGAATTTTACCAAAAAAATAATAGTGAATTAAGAAAAAGAATTGGAGAAAAATATAATGGAAGAGAGCAATGGCGAAGAGCAGCGTGAGATTGAATAGTGAAAGCATGGCAATGATGGTGTTGATGTCATCATCAAATCAAATGAGTGCTTCTCTATGTTATTTCTAAAGTAAAGGGTTATTAATATATATTATGAGCATGCAATCTTTTTTTTTTTACTTTTTTAGAAAAAATATTTATGGCCAATATTATTGCATACAAATCTAAACCACTCAATGCGTTTATATCTGCTTGCCTCCACTTTAGATGTGCGGACCCTCTAGTGGTTTTTTTTTTTTTTGGGGGGGGGGGGAATAGACACTACTATAGTTAATTAGATCGGAATTGTTAGAGTATCATAAATAGAGAAAATTATATGAAAAAAAATAATAATTTAATATAAATATATTACAATTTTATATTGGATAAGATTGTTGAAGAAAGTTTGGCCAACATTCCTCTTTTATTCGATGGACTTAACATTTCAATGCATAGCATAGTGATTGGTGCAGTCCTCAAAAAGGCTTATGGAAATAAAATTATGTTAATTAACAGCCATAGTTTTTACCATAGTAATTGCACTTGATCTTACATTTTAGTTCTATTATAATTTAGTTTCTTGAACTTGATCCACTACAATTCAATTTTTATAGTTTATTGAGTTAAATAATTAGAGAAATTTTGAGTACAAAAAAAACTATAAGAATTGAGGTGTCATGAGTCAAGAAAGTATAAGAATTTAGTTTTTTCAAATTAAAGTTCAATAACTGAGTTAGTAATTGAAAATAATTTTAAGAATCAAAAGTTATATTTCTCTTTAATATATGTATTCGAGTTATTAGGCAAAATTACCAATGATAATATATTGTACAGAGAAGAATTGTAGTCTTTGATCGCAAGATTTAAAGTTATCATTCAGTATATATTGGATGACATTCTTGAGTAGTTTAGTCTTGAAGTAAAATTAAATTAGAATTCATATACTGTTCCCGTATTATTATAATGTATTCATGAAATAATCATGTGATAATATATTCACATAAATTAATGCATCAATACCAATAATAATCAATGTAAAACAAAATTTTGATGTAAAAAATATACAATCAAATCTGTAATAACTGTAATGTCATACCCATTATTAGTGATGTTGGATTATCATATCCACCATTGATTGGGAATAGGATATTATATCGAATTAATGAGCATTAATTTGATATATTATAATTTAATAAGGTTTGACCAGTTAATTGAAATTAAGTGATTTTTTTTGAGTCCAAATAAAAAAGCTTTATTTCTACATTAATGAGGAACATTGAATCACAAGCCTCCCTCTTATGATGTTTATATAAATGGAGGTGGTTGGCTTGGAAAGTGCTTCTACCGGGGTTAGAGTGCCTTTTAAATATGATTACAGGAATACAATCTTTTGAATTAAATAGTCCACTTTTGAATGTGGTATGACTAATGACTCTAACCTCATGCTTAGTTTATTTTAGAATCTTTGTTTATTGTTGTATATCCTTCAAGTGAACCCCGCTTTAGATTCATTAAACATAGACCATTACTTAACGCGCAATTTTTTTTTTTTGGGTTGAACTTGTAAATCAAAAAAAAAAGAAGAAATAGGTGGTACTTAATCCATGTGAAAAATATTAGAGTTCGTAATTTAGGCAGGTTGGACTTAATTCAAGTTACATACATAGGTTGGCTTGAATAAATTTGAAATTATATAAAAGCCTAAATAGCTAAGCTTAGTCAGAATATTCAAATTATCAATTTTTTTCTTTTTTTTTAATTAATTTTAATTTTTTTACTTAAAATTAATCACTTCTTTCGTTTCAAATTATAAAATATTTTTAAATAAAATTTATACACCAATAAAGTTTATTAAATACACTTTACAACTTTACCTTTTGAAGACAAAAGTATAAATTTTTAAAAATATCATTCATTCATTTAATACTCCATTGATGAAAGAATATTGAAGAAAGAGAGTATATGGGAAAGGTAATATTAAAAATGTATCATTAATAAAATTTATTTTTATTAAGGTGTCTTATATTTTGAAATATTGAATATTTTTTAAAAGTATCCTATAATTTGAAATGAAATGAGTATTTTTATTTTATAAAAATTAAAAATATATTTTTTTGGAATACTTTAAAATGTAAAAAACTCAAACTTTGGAAAAAAATTTTTGGGTTTTAAAATTTAAAAATTAATATTTAAAATAAAACTTAAATATTATTTTTAGATATTTTATAAATCTAAAATAATAAAATATGATAACATAAGTATTTTTATTTTTTTAAAAAATGTCTATAATAATGTGCTTAATATATAATATTTTAATATAAATAATTTAAAACTTAAAAATTAATTAATTTATTCGAGCTATGGGGTTTATTAAGACTAGATATGTAAAATATACAATTTTTTCAAATCTGAATTTAAAATTTTTCAAGTATCAGGTTACTGGTTGTGAATAGTACCCTCCAAGTTTTCCTCAAATCTAAATCCTCTTAGAACCAACGCGTCCTCAGCATCCCAAATCTCAACCAACCCTTCAATAAATATTTAAATTTCATATTTTTTTCACATCATCTCATATTAAAATAATTTTATTTTACAAATTATTCTTTTAACTTATTCTAAAAAAACTCTCTTAAACTTTTTTAAATGGATCAAGCCAGAATTTGAATAAATCAAACTATAAATATCTGCTTACAGTCTGACTTATTTATAATTTTTTAATATATTTTTATTAAATAAATTAGTTTAGAGTTTAAAAAAAACTAAATTGTAATTACCTACTTTAAAGCTAACTCTATAGATTTTTAAAATATATTTTTATTAAATAAGTTAAACCAAAGTTTGAATAAATTGAATTATAATTTTTTGTAAAAATCTTTAGAGTAATTTTTTAAAATAAAAATGAAATAAAATTAATTTAATGGAAGAATTGATTTTTAAAATAAAATTAGTTTTATATAAAATAATATGATAAAATATGAGATATTAAATATTTATTGAAGGGATGAGATTTGGAACGTTGAGGGATGCTCCTTCAAGAGGATCTCGATCCGGTTCTCTTTTTGTTCAACAAAGCCATCTCATCATTGTCTCTTATTTTTGTGTTCAGTCCTCCGAACATGTGGGGCCCCTTTTTTCTCTGATACCTTCGACCTTCGCCAGTCACCCAGTCACCACTACACCCACCACTAGTCTTAAATCCAATTTAAACCCTATGTTATTTAAAAAAAACAAAAAAAAATAAAGAAAATAAAGAATTTTTTATTTCAAATGAAAATAAATAGAATATGGCATAGTTTTTTATTTTCTCACGCGTAAGCTCACATTAGTCAATATAATATATATTTACACACAAACGAACTGGCAAGCTCTTGCATTTAGTCTGGAGCAGCAAAGCTACTCACCCATTAGTCCAACGCCAGTATATTCAAATAATTTAGTGACCACTAGGAACTATTTTGGGAAAAAAAAATGATAGTTAGGTCTTAATGATAGTTTAAATTTTTAATAATATTTATTAAAAATAAGTCAAAATATTGATTAAAATATTATAAATTCAAGAGTTTCAATTATAAATAAGTATTTAAATATTAAATGTAATTTTTAGATTGTAACAAAATATTTATTTATAACTATTTGAATTGATATTTACAACTCATTTTTATAAAATTTTTGTTGAAGGTTTAACTATTTTTTTAAGAATGAATTAACTGTTATTAATTCAACATTTGAAATGTAACTGTTATTTTTTCAATTAAGAGTGTTAAAGTCTTAATTAAAAATTCTATCACATGTTATATCTCAGTAACTTTTTATTCATGAATTGCTTATAATTGAAAATGTTATTTAATATATAAATATATATTGTATTATACAAAATCAAATATAAGTTATTAATAGTTTTAGGTTGATGGCTAGCTATCTTAGCGGCAGTGCCATCTTTCTTAAAGAAGTTTGAATTTAAACATGATATTGACATTTTATGCATGTGAATGAAGTGTGCGAGTCTCCTTTTTTTATAAAAAAAAGTCTAGAATAGAAAATTTTGAAAAACATTAATAGGATTCAGGCTCGATTAAAATTTATTCCTTCCTTAATATACAAAAGATAGATTAATAAACATTTTAGATATTGTCTTTTTTGTGGACAAAAAGGATTTTTTTCTTAACAACTCAAGTTAACATGAATAGTCTAGGAATTTGGTCATTTAAATAAGTAGTTGAAGATTTAAACTATGGTCATCATTTAAACATGTGGTTAGAAATTTTAATCCTAATTTTTTGAATACAATGACTTAGTGAAGAATGATCTTGTTTTTTTGGTCTCAATAACTGAAAAAGATAATTCTTTTTTTTTTGTGTTATTACTGAAAAAGATAACTTGCTGTTGCTCTTATGGGTAAAAAAAATATAGGTGTGTCAGATTTAATTTATTTTTTTTTGGGTTGAAAAATTATAATTCCAATCCAACCTTAAAAATTGACAGATTAAATGCTTAACTAGTCAACTCATTTATTTTTTTTCAATTTAATTTTTCATGAATTTCAAAAAAATGTACACCTAAATCATGATAATTCTATTATTTCATTATTCATTCTAGATATATTAAAATATTAGTGCATATATTTGCAAGTTTTTGAAAACTTTGAGAAGATATTTCTTCTGGGTGGTACTTTGATGTAATTTTGGGAAAAAACAAATAAACAGAGGCTCCCTAGAGAGCGCAAACTAATGAAAGGAGAACCCAAGGAGAGGGAAGCGTGCACGGACACACACAATAAGCAAAGCTTCAAAAAGCATCACAACAAAATTATGAATATTCAAACGCTATTGTCTCCTTGTTTCCTTATTTCTTCATGTTTTCTTTTTTAATTCTTTTATATCAATCAACTCTTTTTAAAAATTCGTCTGAAAATTTTGTTATTCCATAAACGAGATTTTCTCACAATAATCACTTACTTCTCTAATCTTAATATTAGTCATACTCTTTTAAAAGAATGTTTTAGTGTCAATTATATTAATCACTTTGAGAGATGTGTCTATTGTATTAATTATAATTAATTCTTTCATTAAGTCCTTAGTTTGTAATCAAGAGGTGACTACGTGATGTTAAAATTTTGTTAATTACTAATAGTAGCAATAGTGGCAATAGTTAAATTATTAATATCATATATCATATTGATGAGAATAAAAGGAAAATTTATTATAAAAATTCAATGACATTACTAATAAATAAGTATGCTTTTTATTAGGGGTTGCTTAGTTGGAAATAAGTACCTTTGGGAAGTTAATGAAATTTTCTTTACTTGGTTCACTAAAATTTTTAACTTAATGAGAAACTAAGCCTGATAATGAACATTCTCAAGTCTTAACTAACGGTGAATAAATTACAACCATCCGATTTCATATTGCTGGATTGAATCGCAGCCGTCGAAATGCTAGACGTGAAGCTTACTAATAATCAACACTCTGTCAACTTTCCCCAAAAAGAGTGTCTTTCCGCCTTGGAAAAAGACATCGCGCCCACTGCTACCTTTCCCCTCTGCTTCTTCACTTCATTCATGGCGGTGACGAAGCTTCTCTCTCTCTACATTTTCAGGTTTTATCTTGTTATTCTGCAGCTACCTCACAACAACTCCAGTGCCGTTGCAGCCTCTTTGCCGCCTTCTTCGGATGTCGAGCTTCTCTTGGGTAAAATCAGAGCGGCCCTTCAAGGTAACGGCGATAACCCGTTGGGCGTCATGTCTTCATGGAATTCCTCTAGACCTCTTTGCCATGGGAGGACTCAAAGGGTTTCCCTCTAATGGCTCTCCCCTGTCATGCAATGACTTGTCTTCACACAAGGGACAATCATTCGCTTTTCAGAGACCCCTCTTTACATCTACTCGCTCTTCAGCTTCCTTCTGCGAATCTCTCTGGTTCGCTTCCGAGGGAGCTTTCAGAGTTCCTATGCTTCAGAGTCTCTACCTGGAACATCAATTCGTTGAAAGGGACAATCCTATTGAGCTTGGGTGGTATAGTTTCCTCACTTACGATGTCGTTTGGGATGACAATATGTTGAGTGGAGCTTTACCACCGTCGATCTGGAATTTGTGTGATAAGCTCGTTTCGCTTAGACTCCATGGCAACATGTTTGCGGGTCTCTTCCTGAACCGGCATTGCCCGAATCTTCCTTGCAAGAATCTGCAATTTCTTGATTTGGGTAATAACAAGTTTTCTGGGGTTTTCCCTGAATTCATCACACGTTTTGGGGGGCTGAAACAGCTTGACTTGGGGAATAATATGTTTACGGGTTCAATTCCTCAGAGCTTAGCTGGGTTAATTAGACTTGAGAAACGGAATCTTTCTCACAACAATTTTAGTGGGGTTTTGACCTACTTTTGGTGAATCATCCAAATTTGGTGTGGAGGTTTTTGAAGGGAA